TTTTTCCTTATTTGTCGACTATTTTTCCTTATTTTTCCTTATTTGTCGACTATGTTTCCTTATTTTTTCCTTATTTGTCGACTATTTTTTCATTATTTTTCCTTATTTGTCAATTATGTTTTATTTTTTCTTTATTTGTCGACTATGTTTCCTTATTTTTCCTGTTTGTTTCTTATTGTTTCCTTTTTTTTTCGACTATTTGTTACTTTTTTTTGTCTGCGGTTGTTAACTATTTTTCCTTATTGATCCTTATTTGTCGAGTATGTCTATTTATTTTTTGTCTTATGTTGTTAACTATTTTCCTTATTTGTCAACTTTGATGTTCCTATTTTTCTTTATCTGTCGACTTGCGTTCCATAGTGTTTCTTATTTCTCAACTAGTTAGTTTTCCTTATTTGTCAACTATTGTTTTCCTTATGTTTATTTATTTGTTGATTATTTGTCCATAAGTGTTCTTATTGATTAACTATTTTTCCTTATGTGTGTCTTATTTTTTGTCAACTATAATATTGTACTGTACTTATTTGTCCTTATGTGTCAACTTTTTTTTCCCTTATGTTGTCCTTGATTGTTGACTATTTTTTCCTGAGTTGTTTTCCTTATTTATTGTTTTTCTGTTATGTTGACTATTCATTTTTTCTTATTGTTTTGTTTATTTGTCAACTAGGTTTCCTTAGTGTAGTTTTATGTGTAGACTATTTGTATTTCCTAGTATTGATTTGTTTGTTGACTATTTGTTGACTAGCCTTCCTTGATATTTCTATTTGTAGATTAAATTTAGGCGGTTTAGTTAGTTAAATTAATTTATCATGCAATTGTGTACTATTTTCCTTAGTCAACTTATGTTTCTACTATTGTTTTTCGTTTTGAACTTCTAGGGCTTCACCTTTATGAAACTATCCAGCTGTAGACTTGTGCCCTTTGTTTTCTATAGTTATTTGACATCAGTCAGTCCCGCAGCCAACTTTCAGAAACGAGTACACTGTCGTGCCAGCTATCAGCCTCACGGCTGAATCATCCCTGACTATTTGCAGCTGATGGCGGCCCCGAATGGTGGTGTGCAGCCTCCAAACGAGGACCTGAATCAATGGGTAGGAGTGAATATGGTACCTCCAAATCCGGCTGCCCTCCATCAACCAGACAGCGCTCGCACTCCATCCCCAAGAAGCTTTCTGTCCTACCACTACCCCAAGACAGGTGCCTTCAAGAAGATGCATGACCGCTACGCCAATGTCAGAATCAGATTGAACCAACCCATGAATCAACCTTTGCCTTTTCCTGGTGTGGCTGGCGCTGGTGACAACCCAGGCATGAATCAACCTGGGGTGAACCAGGGCGCCAATGAACCTTTGCCTGTGGAGAACCAGGTGAACCAGGAGGAGAACCCGGGCATGAACCAACCTGTGCCTGATGAGGTTGGTGAAAATGTTATGGCTGAATCTCCGGCTACTGAGAAGGGCGTCAATCACTCTCCAGAGACAGCCACACAGCATACAAATGACACAGGTGTGGTGAAATGGAACGATGATTGGGCTCTGTTCACACCGCCTCGGCGAACAACAGGTGGTTTGGTGTCGCCGACAATTCATGATGCCAAGAAGGTACTGGAAAATGCAAAGACTCACCAATACCAGACCCAAGGCCTCAATGTCAATGCATCATCAGGAGCACAACCCCGCCAGTCACCACCGTCCAAAGACTCATCTGATTCCGTTGACTACAGTTCCAGCACTTGCCAATCCTCCACTTCACCGATGATGAAGAAGGCGGCTGAGAAATTGGGGACGTCAGGAAGAAAGCGTGGCTTAGACTTCACACCTGAATCCATTTCATCAACGAGACGAGTTAATTGGCACGCAGCAGTTTGTGCTGGAGCCAATTTGAAGCGCCCACGCAACGTGGGCGAAATGGATGAGAAGTGAATCAATTTATGCCTACGCTTTAAGCTAGGCTCACATGACAAGAATCAAAAATCAGCTGGTGTACTTAGTATACTGTGGCAGTGTTTTGCGGATCAATATTTACAGATTGATCTCTGAATTTCTGGGGTCACTGAACCACAGGTTTGCCCAAACACTGGCTGGACCTTCGCCCAGACCGAGCGCAAAGGATGAAAACACGCATTGCCGGAATGGGGGAGTCAAGTCATAGCGCAGCATTTTGCTTTGATTTAATTGGAAGTGGCACGCGTGCTTTTCCTTTTTTACCTCAGAGTGACTAGTCACCCTAGTCAGTCACTAGTGACTAATATGTTTTGTTTGTACTGTATCAACCGCCAATTTCACCCCCCCCAGGCCGCTGGCCGCCCCACACACAGAAGTCCTCTGTGAATCAGCAACTTCCTTGATGACCACCTCGTTCTTGCAGGACAGGATGAAGCCTGGCCACCATGACTGAGGAGACACAGAGCATGGTCCACATTGGTTAAACTAACTTGTGTTTCCAGAAAACAACCTTACACCGATGAATTGACCATGTTCTGACTCTGATTCTCTTTAGCAGCCGACATCACAGTACAGGCAATTCTGCGGCCAACAGTCAGGAGGAGCTGGAGGTTAAACATCTAAATTTCAGTTAGTCATATATATATATATATGTGTATTTTCCTATGTCAGATCGTTACAATAAGTTAAAAGATGAAGGTCACCAGCTGTTTGTTTTGGTTCATTACTCCTCCACAGTTGACTTTGTTTCGTGATGCATTTTGCTGTTACCTCGACCGCTGAGTCTGAGAGAAACAAAGGTCGTAAGAAACGTGACCCCACTTGCCACCAGTTGACACTGTCTCTCGGGATTGTTCTGACATCGACGCAAACCATCAGGCCCTCATGGCTCATTGAATCAGAAAACTACAAATTGTATGTTGTTCAACCTGGAGGGTCAGGTGGGCTGGACCATCAGAGAATAGTTTACGTTCACTGAAGTACTTACAGTGGTTTCAGAGTGGCACAATCCCCAGAAGGACCCGAATATAAAAACTAAAAACATCTTTGGGTCAATTTGGGCCATCTAGCCTTACTACTCTGACTCTGAAACCACGACTGTAGTTACTTAGTAGAGGCGTGTGATACTGACTTTTCTTGATCCAAGGCGCTTCCTCGATGGGCTTGTGAAGCAGAGCTCCTGATGAAACAGCGGCTTGTGAGCAGTTGGGCTAACCGTTACCTATGCTTTACTGACGTTTGCAGCGTCACACTTTAGGTGGCAAGAGGTTGAGCTATGCTGAAAATTGTCAATTCCTCCAATCATATTGCGAGGGCAGCAAACTCACATCACCCAATGAATCAAGGAACATTGGCTCCTCGGAGATGGAAATGGCATCTGAGCTTTCCCAAACAGGCAGGAGGACAATCTTCGGAATGATGGTTCCTTGGAAGGATTGCGCCACTAATGAAGACTGTTTGCAATGAGTAACAAACATTGGACCAGCCCACCTCAGACTCAGGCTGTGGTTAAAGGTCTACAGCACAGCATGCTCACAATCTTTGGCAATGGTCTGGAGATCTTCTTGCCCAAGACCAGACTGAAACCCGGGGATGACATGGCCTCTGCCAAGTTAGATCCTCCCACTTGCGCTGAGAGACCAATCTTGACAGCTGTTCCTTGGCCTACTATACATACCATTGTGCAATTACAACGACGAGGGACGGACGGTCAGGGACCAGGATATACGGATACTTCCCAAAAAGACCCAACTGGCCTGCCAGGCACTGGATTCCAGACATGACATGTATACACCAAACCATTGCTTAGATTCTTAAACCATTGAATTGCCTAGATCGGCAACCACTGGCCTACAAAAACACATAGTTTAATTAATAGCTAGATTTAATTTAATATCGAATCACATATATGGAAGAAGTACTTATCTTTATTAAATTTGGGCAAATGACTCACAGACTGACTGAGTCTCCTGACGAAGAAGCACTACCCTTCAAGAGCTTGTATGCCCTATGCTACAATAGCGGCCTCCGGCTCTATGCAGAGCCAGAAAGTCTGCACCCAATGTGGAATGATCTCAAGAATGCATTGAAACGAGCAGAGTTTCAGCCATCGCTGTTGCTGGGCATACTTCTGAGTCAAGCCAGTCATGGACCCTTTGATTCAGGAGCTCACCAATGGACGAAACAGGAGTGCGTGAAGGTGTTGCCCAAGGAACTTTCCCCGAGTGATTTTGCTGAGCTTCGAGAGTGCATGCTGAAAGACAGGTATGGGCAACTAAGTACAGACATTCCTGACTCCCCGGAAGATCTAGAGGATTTGTCTGCAGTGCAGCACTTGCCTATCTTTGCCTCTTAGATTGTCAGTCAGCAGTTGTATTTTTGTATATATGCAATTTATCAGTCTGTTCTGTTCAGTCAGCTTTTCCAATTCTCCTATTTTGGTTCAACCAACCTCGATCAACTGGTCCTCAGTTTACAGGGGATCAGTGAAGAACCAAACCACTCAGTGATTGTCTACCCTGACCCTGGCCCTAGGCAAAGTACAAGTCCTGGTTCCAGTGCATTGTCTCTCTCTACAAGCTGAGTTTAGACTGGAGCCTGAACACTCTAGTTTTGGAAAGGGCGGTTGAGATGCACAGGGGTTCTGCACGCTTCGATGTACACATGGCTGCACCCCTGTCATGTCCAACACATTTTCTGGATACTGTTTGGAATAAACAACATAATTAATAGCAAAGAACAAAATCCAAAGTTGTTTTCCCTTTACTTACAGCAAAAACAACTCAGGAGCCAGACCTACCTGGAGATGGCGACGATGCTTCTGATTGCGATGGGGCTTGGGAGGGTGGTGAGGGCGATGCTCACCCCCGCCCACAGAATCGGCAGGAGCTTAACCAGCTCAAAGACCAGTTTGCCAACAAGCTGCAAATGGCATGCCACTACTACCAGGACCCGCTGCTGCCACTGGAATTCAAGGCAATCTTCTGGGCCTCCCACGAGCTCTTGCGTGAGTACGTCCGGACATTAAACACCCACAAATCTGGGCAGGAGGGGCCAATCATGACTAAATTATTACAACACAGTCCTGTATCAACTAAATGAATCAATGAACCAACAAGGACGGTTCCAGTGATTCACTGACACTAGTATGAGACGACGGTTCACCATGACCAATAACTCTTGCTCCATACTAGGAGAAAACACTCCGATGGCGTGCTGCTAGAGCCAAGGGGGGAAACCTGGTACACTACAACTGTTGCTCGTACTATGTGCTCCATCAATGACCTGGAGACCCTGACGAGACTACACATTTCAACCCTGAGAAAACCAGTGGTTGATGAAAACGAGCTAGCACATGAGTTGCAGCTACTTCGGCGCTACTCTGACCTTTGCATTGAAATTTCTTCTGCCCGGTGTTGGAGTCAGTGTCAGTACATGGTGTGCTTGCCGAACGTGTTTTGTTTGGTGCATCATGAAGAGATGGAGCAAAGGAGGCGAGGCTTGAAACTTATCAACAAAATATGGACGGCGGTCCTGCATGCAGAGCGCTTCCTCCAGGATCCCGCTTCTCCAGCTGATGTCAAATTGGCCTTGGCTTCAATCATGACCCAAATGGCATGGAACAAGAACCAGGTTGCTCGTGAAATCTACTTGGTTTGCAATGCTGCTCGGTGGGACCCTCATGACAACGAAGTCAGGCAAATGGCCTTCCAGTTATTTGGAAACCCTGGAAATACAAAGCATTTTCTGGAAGACGCATTCTCACACCTCGCTGATGTTGCCAAACGGTTTGCTCGTCACAGCAAAATGTCCAAGATCCTTGATGAGAGCCAAACACTGTTTTTTCTTTCTGTATGTTCAGAGGCACTATTATTGCATATTTTTACCCACCTTGTAAGTTTACTTGCTTCAGTGGGCCCCTTCCAGTTAAAACCTACTGTTTGTCCAGTGTCCAGCTACTACCCATGACAGGTGGCTGAAGTTCTTCTACATGACTTGCGTGCCAACCCAAGATGAGTTGAAGTGGCCACGACTTGACGCAACACCAGAGGACTTTACTGCGGCAATGAAACAGTCCAATCGAATGACCCCAACGGGCAAGAGATCAGGAAAGGTGTTCACTTTGCCTGAAACCTTTAAACTGCCTAAAGCCTTGAACTTCACTATCAAGAATCTGAAGCAGGTGGACAGGAGTGCTGGCACTGCTGCAAACCAAAGGGCAGCTGCAGCGACAGCGTGGGTGCTCTCCAACTCGCAGTCCAATTTCCGTCACGCACCCATGGCATGGACAGGCTGGAATATGTTCAAAAAACAACAACGGATGTTGAAGTTTTTGTAGTTTGTTGCTCGGTGTCAGTCAAGGGGAACGTGTATATAATTAGGTGTAAATGTGTTCGGCACTGGACTGGAGGCAGTTTTTTGCTGAAGCGGCACATCTACCAGAACACGGCTGGCAAGGTGTTCATGTGTTTGGGCTTCCAAACATACGCTGCATTGGGCATTCCTCTCCAAAAGATTCTGGTGGATGGCAAGGACGGGTTTCAGTAAAATAACAATTGTTACCTTTGTGACTTCAATAACAATGAATATGTTTGCGGGCGTGTTAAGTGTGAAGACAAACACCAGTGAACATGCAGTTACTGTTTACAAAACATGTTCAACATTTACTGCTTATGCATGTTTTAATCACCATAGATCCTCTGGGCTGGGGGTGCGAGTGCCAGTGAGTCAGTGCATCAGGTCTACATCATGGCCACAGAGAATTTCTTCAAGGGTGCTTTGCCGACGTGCATGATGAATTCAGAGATCACCGGGGAAGCCAGATGGAAAATGCTACCAACCACGCTCCTGTTGCCAAGCCAGCTGCCAGTCGAATTGCGAACATATGGCTCTGTGTGGCAAGTTACAGGAGAACCACAACCGTTGTTGGCGAGTGCTGTGATGGCCGGCTTGTTCCTGACCCTGTCAACCCTTCAGTCCCTGCATGCCATGTTGAAGTTCAAGCTTCCGGACAAGGGTCAGGGATCAGGCAAGAATGGAGGAATCGTCAAACATGATTACAGTGAAGCTCTGGTCAACATGCTTTTCCCTGAAGCAACCCCAAGTGAACGAAAACGGATGGTAGATTGCCTCGATGGTCGAACAGTCTCTCGTGTGAAATGCCCAGCTGACGTCATCAACGCAGTCAAAGAACTAGGTGTTGACGGGGAGAGAGATTTCCACCACCTTCACCAAGTTGCTTTGAACCAAGAACTTGTGGAGAAAGAGAGGGCATTCCATGGTCCGCGGGCTCCCACAGAAGAACGTGCAGAACAAAGAACGTTCACCCCACGGTCACTGAAGAGCCTTTTGCCAAGTGGTGCTGGAATTGGCTGTAGCAGGAACCCACTACTCTGCCGCTACCAGGCCTTGCATAGTGGAACCACGGCAATTAAAGACTACCCTAGCAATTAGTTATGTTAGGTAATGCAGCTTCACTTCAAATAATATTTTAACACCACGACCTATTAGATCTATTTTTTATAGACTAACTATTCAGCTGATGAAACATCCCGAGACTCACTGAGTGACCAAGGACAAGTTGCAGGATTTCTGACCACACACGCTGCGACTTGGGGTGGTCCAGTTCGCAACCTTTCTGAGTTTGAAGCATTGCGAGAGTGCATCATCGCTTTCATTTGGACAAAAGAGAAATTGCTTCGTCCTGAACAAGCTGAGGCTGAGAACCAGCGTCCCAGCGTATAAACTTACCAATTTGTTTGTTTGTTATGTTCATTGTGTGTTTTTTTTAGGTAACTGGTAGAACCACTATCTATCCCGAATCTAAGGCCAACAGATGAGGATATTCGAGCAGTGGTAAATAGTTTTGATGCTAGCACGGGATTCCTCAATAATG